GTCCAGCTGCATGGTGATCTGTTCTATCTACTGGGACACCCTGGCCCCCGCCTGTTTCTCCCAGCTCCCATACATCATGCCCTGAACAAACTTCAAATCCCTGCTGTCGAACAACACACTCTTTGATGGTTCCCAAAGCAGCCACCCCTTGCTCTCTCAGCAGCCAGTTCTAAATACGCACACCAGATCGCACCCGCCCCCAACTTACTTCAAAACGTCTTGGGGACGTGGGTGACTGCCATGCAACCGAACACCCCCAGCATGCCCACCGGCGTCTTCCTCCCAAGCCACCTCTCCAACGGCACCCACGAGTCATCACCAACCTTAGTGAGCACCCTGTTCCTAGCGACGGTAGCGTGCCGAACATCATAGGGCCAAATCGAGTTGCCCAGCCCAGATTCTATGAGCAGTGCCCTAGCTGTCTCCAGAATTGTCCGGTTCGCCCGTTCTGCTACACCGTTAGACTGTGGGGTGTAAGCTGTGGTCAGCTCTATCTGAATGCCCTGCTTCTTGAGCCAAGCCGTCATCTCAGCTCCAAGGAACTCACCACCCCTATCCGTCCTAATCCGCTTCACCACACACTCCGCTTGCTTCTCCACGAATGGTAGCCAATCTTCCCGTATCGTAGAGGCGGCGTGGTCCTTCTGCTTCAGCGGATATGCCCACATAAGCTTGCTCAAATTATCCACTATGGTCAGAAAGTACCGCTCCCCCTTGTGCCCCTGAACCGGTAGCGGCCCCACCAAGTCCATGTGGACCAACTCTCAAGGCTTGTTGCTCCTGCCAGTCACACTATGGAAGGGGAAACGGGTGAATTTGGATAGCAAGCATATTTCACAATTGTCATCAGGTGGCTGGCCATTCAGCTTCAGACCCTTGACGACCCCATCCTTCTCCACCTGCTTCAGAAAAGGCATTGCTACTGCCCCAAGCGTCGGTGTGCCGTTGCCCAATCCGTCTCCCTAGATCTGGCCGACACTTTCACACCAATCCCTCAAACGGCGTTGCACTCCCCCTGGGATGCAGACCCTTCTGCAGCCTGCCCCTTACTGTGCCACGCCAATGCCGGCAGCTGCCACATGGATCAATACACATCTCTGCTCTTGTGCAGATCCCAAAGCACCCGATTGCCCAGCTGCCCCTTGTTAGTGCGTGCCCCATCCGTGCTAGTGCTCACCCCAACCTTGCCAAGATTACGGAGGGAGATGAGGTTGACTTTGAGATCAGGAACGAGGAGAACGTCGTGCAGCACCACCGGCTTGCCATCCGCTCCCTTAAACGCAGCTCATCCCGCACCAGCCACCTTCAGCGCGTGTCCAGAGGCGGAGCACACCTCATTGATCGGTGCAGCGCGTACGTCGCCAGGTCCTTGCGCGGCGTCATTGTCCAAGCAGCACCCGTGTCCAACACCCAATAGTTCAGGGGGTGCAGCTCTGCTCCAACCATGTCAGAGGCGTCTCCTTGCTCCCCCTGCTCTCCAATATGGAAGAACTGGCCCGTGATGCGCTCCTTCTTCTTCTCCACACCGATATTGCTCTTCAGGTTGTTGTCGGATGAATCGGCGACCATGCTCGCGCCGTTTTTCTGGTTCCTCCGCGCGCCGCCATCCTGGTGACAATTCTGGGGGGTCCATCCATCGGGTTTCTTATAGCACAAAAACCAGGGGTGCCCCTCCTTCTCAAAATACCAGCAACTCCCTTTCATTTTGCCAGCAACACCCATTTTGCCCCCACGTCCAGGTTTCGCACCGCGACCCCATCCGGTACCTCCTTGTTGGTCATTCAAGTCGTCGTCCTTCTTTGCACCACGTCCAGCACCACCGAAGCCTCGTCCTCGTCGGCTCCCTTGCATCCCATAGCCGATGCTTCCGTCGTCTCCACCCCTCCGTTGGCGGCAATGGTAGTCCTCCAGAATCTTCGTCCCCACCCACTCGAGTGTCCACGAGCTCTGGTTCTACGGCAGCCTCAATCCGCTCGTGAATTGAAGCCACGTTTCTGGCAGCAGCGAGAGCATCTTCAAGCACTTGGTCTGCTCTGGGTAGGTGATAACCGCGGTCGCCAACTTCGTGTAGTGGTCGCGCATCTTGTGTAGGACAGGTTGCATCGGCTCTCCCTCGCTCAGGCGCAACGCGGCCAGCTCCCTCTCCAGCATCAACGTTGCGACAACGGAGGTCAGGGCGTGCAGCTCCTTCAACACGGTCCACGCCTTTGGACCGCACTCAACCTCCGGCAGTAGGTGCATGACGTGGTGACGCTGGTTCAGCTCCAAACTCTGCGACATCAAGTAGTAGCCAGCCGAGAAGTGCTCGTCCCAATCTTCCTGCAACGTGGGGTCACTCGGTCTAAGCTCGTCCCCAATTATTAGTTTCAGCAAACCGATTTGACGGAAATAAAATTGCATTTTCCAGGCCCAGTCATCATAGCCCTCACCATTGAACTTCTTGACGATGAAGTTCTTCAGCACCTCCTTGATCAGCGAGCCCTGGTTTGTTCGCGCTCCCCTTGGCGCTGAAACACCAGAATATTGGCTGCCGCTACGTTCTTGTGCTGAAGATTCCCCAGCTCATGTCGAGGTGTTGCCCGCCATAGCTACCAATAATGAGGATCACTATAACGTCACTCTGATACCACCTTGTTGGTGTAAGGGCCTAATAAACTCAAGCTATTAAGACTTTATCAAACTTAAAACCTCTCCTCGGGGTCACCTCCAAGGGTCCTTGGATGCCTGGAACAAGATAGGCCCCTATCCTCGGGTCCGAGTTTGTAGAGAGAGGGATCAACAATGACTTGCCAAAATACCAAGAGCACCTTGAACGTCGCACAACATATCTTGCAGACCGTCGATCGGATTAAGCCGAGACTTTTGATATCGAAGCTCGCTCTAAGAGCTTTAAAATGAGCCAAGTTGCCTCGCGAAAATTTCTGCCGTTACGGAGTTATTGCTCGTACAGCGTCTGCATAGCTCTAGGGCGCTAACATACTAGCGTTGACTCGGGTAGCATTCCGCTCTTGCACCGCATATAAATGAAATTCCAGCGAAAATCAATTTCACTATATCCAGGTACAAACAGAGAAGGAATAAATAGTTCTAGCTGGCAAGAACCTTGGGAATCAACCTGGGAACAACCAAGGATGATCCCAAATTATTCCAAGGAACAGAACTAGCCTGGCTGGACCAAACGGCAGGTGGTAGGCTGGTAAGCAACCTCTGGTTCTGGTTTTCCAACCTGGGAAAACAACAACCAGATTCCGGTCCTAAAAACAGAACCTGTTTTGTCTTCGCCCAACCAGTCAAGTGTTGGTTCCGCTAGTTAACCTTGCCTTGTAGCATGCAGATTCAGACAACAACATCCAACCTTTACCGTAATTGTACCCCTATAGTTCCTGCCCTTCTACAATATTGTTAACCAAAGAAAACAGTACAATTTCGAGTTGGATAGAACTGAATCTGCGCAATCAAGTAAGCCAAACCGCAAAGTATCCATCTTGGGTTCCTTAGCGAGCTCGTCCTTCTGCTTGTACTGTTCATAGCGCGTACAATGTTGTGCCGAAGCGCAAAACGCGCGAGTACCTGCAAATGCTTCGCAAGCTCCTGGACCAAGCAAGCTCGTGGACCAGGCACGCTCGAGGACGAGGCACGCTCCTGGACCAGGCAAGCTCTTGGACCAGGCACGCTCGTGGACCAGGCACGCTCCTGGACCAGGCAAGCTCGTGGACCAGGCAAGCTCGTGGACCAGGCACGCTCATGGACCAGGCAAGCTCGTGGACCAGGCAAGCTCCTGGACCAAGCAAGCTCCTGGACCAGGCACGCTTGTGGACCAGGCACGCTCCTGGACCAGGCAAGCTCCTGGACTAGGCAAGCTCCTGGACCAGGCACGCTCGTGGACGGGGCACGCTCCTGGACCAGTAAAGCTCTTGGACCAGGCAAGCTCTCGGACCAGGCAAGCTTTTGGACCAGGCACGCTCTTGGACCAAGCAAGCTCCTAGACCAGGCAAGGTCCTAGACCAGGCACGCTCGTGGACCAAGCACGCTCCTAGTCCAGGCAAGCTCCTGGACCAGGCACGCTCCTAGAACAAGCACGCTCCTGGACCAGGCAAGCTCCTGGACCTGGCAAGCTCTTGGACCAAGCAAGCTCCTGGACCACGCAAGCTCCTGGACCAGGCAAGCTCTGGGACCAGTCAAGCTCCTAGACCAGGCAAGCTCCTGGACTTGGTACACTCCTGGACCACGCAAGCTCCAGGACCAGGCAAGCTCCTGGACTAGGCAAGCTCCTGGACCCGAGAAGCTCCTGGATCAGGCAAGCTCCTGGACTAGGCAAGCTCCTGGACCAAGCACGCTCCTCGACCAGGCACGCTCCTAGAACAAGCAAGCTCCTGGACCACGACCACGTCCACGTCCACGTCCACGTCCACGTCCATGTCCACGTCCAAGTCCTCCACGTCCACGACCACGTCCACGTCCACGTCCAAGTCCTCCACGTCCACGACCACGTCCACGTCCACGTCCACGTCAACGTCCACATCCACGTCCACGACCACGTGAACGTCCACGTCCACGTCCACGACCATGTCCACGTCAACGTCCACGTCCACGTCTAGGTCCACGTCCACGTCCACGTCCACGTCCACGTCCACGTCCGCGTCCACGTCCGCGTCCACGTCCACGTCCACGTCCGCATCCTCCACGTCCGCGTCCACGTCCACGTCCGCGTCCTCCACGTCCACGTCCGCGTCCTCCACGTCCACGTCCGCGTCCACGTCCGCGTCCGCGTCCACGTCCACGTCCACGTCCACGTCCTCCACGTCCACGTCCTCCACGTCCACGTCCACGTCCACGTCCTCCACGTCCACGTCCTCCACGTCCACGTCTTCGTCCACGTCCTCCACGTCCACGTCCTCCACGTGGACGTGGACGTGGACGTGGACGTGGACGTGATCGTGGACGTGGACGTGGACGTGGACGTGGACGTGGACGTGGACGTGGAGGACGTGGACGTCGACATGGACGTGGACGTGGAAGACGTGGACGTGGACGTGGACGTGGACGTGGACGTGGACGTGGTCGTGGACGTGGACGTTGACGTGGACGTGGACGTGGTCGTGGACGTGGAGGACTTGGACGTGGACCTAGACGTGGACGTGGACTTGGACGTGGACATAGACGTGGACGTGGACGTGGACGTGGACATGGATATGGTCGTGGACGTGGACGTGGACGTGGTCGTGGACGTGGACGTGGACGTGGAGGACATGGACGTGGAGGACGTGGACGTGGACGTGGAGGACGTGGACGTAGACGTGGACGTGGAGGACGTGGACGTGGACGTGGACGAGGACGTGGACGTGGACGTTGACGTGGATGTGGACGAGGACGTGGACGTGGACGTGGACGTGGACGTGGAGGACTTGGACGTGGACGTGGACGTGGACGTGGATGTGGACGTGGAGGTGGACGTGGACGTGGACGTGGACGTGGAGGACGTGGACGTGGACGTGGAGGACGTGGACGTGGAGGACGTGGACGTGGACGTGGAGGACGTGGACGTGGACGTGGAGGACGTGGACGTGGACGTGGAGGACGTGGACGTGGACGTGGACGTGGACGTTGACGTGGACGTGGACGTGGATGTGGTCGTGGACGTGGAGGACTTGGACTTGGACGTGGACGTGGACATGGACGTGGACGTGGTCGTGGACGTGGTCGTGGACGTGGTCGTGGACGTGGTCGTGGACGTGGACGTGGACGTGGACGTGGACGTGGACGTGGAGGACGTGGTTGTGGACGTGGACGTGGACGTGGTCGTGACTTGGACGTGGACGTGGACGTGGACGTGGAGGACGTGGTCGTGGACGTGGACGTGGACGTGGAGGACGTGGACGTGGACGTGACTTGGACGTGGACGTGGACGTGGACGTGGACGTGGTCGTGGACGTGGACGTGGACGTGGAGGACGTGGTCGTGGAGGACGTAGACGTGGACGTGGAGGACGTGGACGTGGACGTGACTTGGACGTGGACGTGGACGTGGACGTGGACGTGGACGTGGTCGTGGACGTGGACGTTGACGTGGACGTGGACGTGGTCGTGGACGTGGAGGACTTGGACGTGGACCTAGACGTGGACGTGGACTTGGACGTGGACATAGACGTGGACGTGGACGTGGACGTGGACATGGATATGGTCGTGGACGTGGACGTGGACGTGGTCGTGGACGTGGACGTGGACGTGGAGGACATGGACGTGGAGGACGTGGACGTGGACGTGGAGGACGTGGACGTAGACGTGGACGTGGAGGACGTGGACGTGGACGTGGACGAGGACGTGGACGTGGACGTTGACGTGGATGTGGACGAGGACGTGGACGTGGACGTGGACGTGGACGTGGAGGACTTGGACGTGGACGTGGACGTGGACGTGGATGTGGACGTGGAGGTGGACGTGGACGTGGACGTGGACGTGGAGGACGTGGACGTGGACGTGGAGGACGTGGACGTGGAGGACGTGGACGTGGACGTGGAGGACGTGGACGTGGACGTGGAGGACGTGGACGTGGACGTGGAGGACGTGGACGTGGACGTGGACGTGGACGTTGACGTGGACGTGGACGTGGATGTGGTCGTGGACGTGGAGGACTTGGACTTGGACGTGGACGTGGACATGGACGTGGACGTGGTCGTGGACGTGGTCGTGGACGTGGTCGTGGACGTGGTCGTGGACGTGGACGTGGACGTGGACGTGGACGTGGACGTGGAGGACGTGGTTGTGGACGTGGACGTGGACGTGGTCGTGACTTGGACGTGGACGTGGACGTGGACGTGGAGGACGTGGTCGTGGACGTGGACGTGGACGTGGAGGACGTGGACGTGGACGTGACTTGGACGTGGACGTGGACGTGGACGTGGACGTGGTCGTGGACGTGGACGTGGACGTGGACGTGGAGGACGTGGTCGTGGAGGACGTAGACGTGGACGTGGAGGACGTGGACGTGGACGTGACTTGGACGTGGACGTGGACGTGGACGTGGACGTGGACGTGGTCGTGGACGTGGACGTTGACGTGGACGTGGACGTGGACGTGGTCGTGGACGAAGAGGACTTGGACTTGGACTTGGTCGTGGACGTGGACGTGGACGTGGACGTGGACGTGGACATGGACGTGGTCGTGGACGTGGACGTGGACGTGGACGTGGACCTGGACGTGGACGTGGACGTGGACGGACGTGGACGTGGACGTGGACGTGGACATGGACGTGGACGTGGACGTGGACTTGGACGTGGTCGTGGACGTGGACGTGGTCGTGGACGTGGACGTGGTCGTGGACGTGGACGTGGACGTGGTCGTGGACGTGGACGTGGACGTGGTCGTGGAGGACCTGGACGTGGACGTGGAGGACGTGGAGGTGGACGTGGACGTGGAGGACGTGGAGGTGGACGTGGACGTGGAGGACCTGGATGTGGACGTGGACGTGGAGTGGACGTGGACGACTTGGACGTGGACGTGGACGTGGACGTGGACGTGGACGTGGTCGTGGACGTGGACGTGGACATGGACGTGGTCGTGGACGTGGACGTGGACATGGTCGTGGACGTGGTCGTGGACGTGGACGTGGACGTGGTCGTGGACGTGGACGTGGACGTGGTCGTGGACGTGGTCGTGGACGTGGACGTGGACGTGGTCGTGGACGTGGACGAGGACGTGGACGTGGACTTGGACGTGGACGTGGACGTGGACGTGGTCGTGGACGTGGACGTGGACGTGGACGTGGAGGACATGGAGGTGGAGGACGTGGACGTGGACGTGGACGTGGACGTGGCCGTGGACGTGGACGTTGACGTGGACGTGGACGAGGACGTGGACGTGGACGTGGACGTGGACGACTTGGACGTGGACGTGGACGTGGACGTGGACCTGGTCGTGGACGTGGACGTGGACGTGGACGTGGAATTGGACGTGGACGTGGACGTGGACGTGGACGTGGAGGTGGACGTGGACGTGGACGTGGACGTGGAGGACCTGGACGTGGACGTGGAGGACCTGGACGTGGAGGACGTGGACGTGGAGGACGTGGACGTGGACGTGGAGGACGTGGACGACCTGGACGTGGAGGACGTGGACGTGGACGTGGAGGACGTGGACGTTGACGTGGTCGTGGACGTGGACGTGGACGTGGAGGACTTGGACGTGGACGTGGACGTGGACGTGGACGTGGTCGTGGACGTGGTCGTGGACGTGGTCGTGGACGTGGTCGTGGACGTGGTCGTGGACGTGGACGTGGACGTGGACGTGGATGTGGACGTGGTCGTGGACGTGGACGTGGTCGTGGACGTCGACGTGGAGGACGTGGACGTGGACTTGGACGTGGACGTGGACGTGACGAGGACGTGGACGTGGACGTGGACGTGGAGGACGTGGTCGTGGACGTGGACGTGGACGTGGACGTGGAGGACGTGTACGTGGAGGACGTGGACGTGGATGAAGTGGACGTGGACGTGGACGACGTGGACGTGGACGTGGACGTGGACGTGGACGTGGACGTGGTCGTGGACGTGGACGTGGTCGTGGACGTGGACGTGGACGTGGACGTGGTCGTGGACGTGGACGTCGATGTGGTCGTGGACGTGGACGTGGAGGTGGTCGTGGACGTGGACGTGGAGGACGTGGACGTGGACGTGGACGTGGAGGACGTGGACGTGGACTTGGACGTGGAGGACGTGGACGTGACTTGGACGTGGACGTGGACTTGGACGTGGAGGACGTGGACGTGACTTGGACGTGGAGGACGTGGTCGTGGACGTGGACGTGGACGTGGAGGACGTGGACGTGGACGACGTGGACGTGGACGACGTGGACGTGGACGTGGAGGACGTGGACGTGGACGACGTGGACGTGGACGTGGACGACGTGGACGAGGACGTGGACGTGGTCGTGGACGTGGACGTGGACGTGGAGGACGTGGACGTGGACGACGTGGACGTGGACGACGTGGACGTGGACGTGGAGGACGTGGACGTGGACGACGTGGACGTGGACGTGGACGACGTGGACGAGGACGTGGACGTGGTCGTGGACGTGGACGTGGACATGGACGTGGACGTGGACGTGGTCGTGGACGTGGAGGACATGGACGTGGACCTGGTCGTGGACGTGGACGTGGACGTGGACGTGGTCGTGAACATGGTCGTGGACGTGGACGTGGACGTGGACGTGGACCTGGACGTGGACGTGGACGTGGACGTGGACGGACGTGGACGTGGACGTGGACGTGGACGGACGTGGACGTGGACGTGGACGGACGTGGACTGGACGTGGACGTGGACGTGGACTTGGACATGGACGTGGACGTGGACGTGGACGTGGACGTGGACGTGGTCGTGGAGGACGTGGACGTGGACGTGGTCGTGGAGGACGTGGACGTGGACGTGGACGTGGAGGACGTGGAGGTGGACGTGGACGGGGACGTGGACCTGGACGTGGACGTGGTCGTGGACGTGGACGTGGTCGTGGACGTGGACGTGGACGTGGACGTGGACGTGGACGAGGACGTGGACTTGGACGTGGACGAGGACGTGGACGTGGACTTGGACGTGGACGAGGACGTGGACGTGGACTTGGACGTGGACGTGGACGTGGACGTGGACGTGGACGTGGTCGTGGACGTGGTCGTGGACATGGTCGTGGACGTGGTCGTGGACGTGGACGTGGACGTGGTCGTGGACGTGGACGTGGAGGACGTGGACGTGGACTTGGACGTGGACGTGGACGTGACTTGGACGTGGACATGGACGTGGACGTGGAGGACGTGGTCGTGGACGTGGACGTGGACGTGGACGTGGAGGACGTGGACGTGGAGGACGTGGACGTGGATGAAGTGGACGTGGACGTGGACGACGTGGACGTGGACGTGGACGTGGTCGTGGACGTGGACGTTGTCGTGGACGTGGACATGGTCGTGGACGTGGACGTGGAGGTGGTCGTGGACGTGGACTTGGACGTGGAGGACGTGGACGTGACTTGGACGTGGAGGACGTGGTCGTGGACGTGGACGTGGACGTGGAGGACGTGGTCGTGGACGACGTGGACGTGGACGTGGACGTGGAGGACGTGGACGTGGACGACGTGGACGTGGACGTGGACGACGTGGACGAGGACGTGGACGTGGTCGTGGACGTGGACGTGGACCTGGACGTGGACGTGGACGTGGACGTGGACGTGGACGTGGAGGACGTGGTCGTGGACGTGGTCGTGGACGTGGACGTGGACGTGGTCGTGGTCGTGGACGTGGACGTGGACCTGGACGTGGACGTGGACCTGGACGTGGACGTGGACGGACCTGGACGTGGACGTGGACGTGGACGGACGTGGACGTGGACGTGGACGTGGACGTGGACTTGGACGTGGACGTGGACGTGGACGTGGTCGTGGAGGACGTGGACGTGGACGTGGTCGTGGAGGACGTGGACGTGGACGTGGACGTGGAGGACGTGGAGGTGGACGTGGACGTGGACGTGGTCGTGGAGGACGTGGACGTGGACGTGGTCGTGGAGGACGTGGACGTGGACGTGGACGTGGAGGACGTGGAGGTGGACGTGGACGTGGACGTGGACGTGGACCTAGACGTGGACGTGGACATGGACGTGGACATGGACGTGGTCGTGGACGTGGACGTGGACATGGTCGTGGACGTGGACGTGGACGTGGACGTGGACGTGGACGAGGACGTGGACTTGGACGTGGACGAGGACGTGGACGTGGACTTGGACGTGGACGAGGACGTGGACGTGGTCGTGGACGTGGACGTGGACATGGACGTGGACGTGGACGTGGACGTGGTCGTGGACGTGGAGGACATGGACGTGGACCTGGTCGTGGACGTGGACGTGGACGTGGACGTGGTCGTGAACATGGTCGTGGACGTGGACGTGGACGTGGACGTGGACCTGGACGTGGACGTGGACGGACGTGGACGTGGACGTGGACGTGGTCGTGGAGGACGTGGACGTGGACGTGGTCGTGGAGGACGTGGACGTGGACGTGGACGTGGAGGACGTGGAGGTGGACGTGGACGGGGACGTGGACCTGGACGTGGACGTGGTCGTGGACGTGGACGTGGTCGTGGACGTGGACGTGGACGTGGACGTGGACGAGGACGTGGACTTGGACGTGGACGAGGACGTGGACGTGGACTTGGACGTGGACGAGGACGTGGACGTGGACTTGGACGTGGACGTGGACGTGGACGTGGACGTGGACGTGGACGTGGTCGTGGACGTGGTCGTGGACATGGTCGTGGACGTGGTCGTGGACGTGGACGTGGACGTGGTCGTGGACGTGGACGTGGAGGACGTGGACGTGGACTTGGACGTGGACGTGGACGTGACTTGGACGTGGACATGGACGTGGACGTGGAGGACGTGGTCGTGGACGTGGACGTGGACGTGGACGTGGAGGACGTGGACGTGGAGGACGTGGACGTGGATGAAGTGGACGTGGACGTGGACGACGTGGACGTGGACGTGGACGTGGTCGTGGACGTGGACGTGGTCGTGGACGTGGACATGGTCGTGGACGTGGACGTGGAGGTGGTCGTGGACGTGGACTTGGACGTGGAGGACGTGGACGTGACTTGGACGTGGAGGACGTGGTCGTGGACGTGGACGTGGACGTGGAGGACGTGGTCGTGGACGACGTGGACGTGGACGTGGACGTGGAGGACGTGGACGTGGACGACGTGGACGTGGACGTGGACGACGTGGACGAGGACGTGGACGTGGTCGTGGACGTGGACGTGGACCTGGACGTGGACGTGGACGTGGACGTGGACGTGGACGTGGAGGACGTGGTCGTGGACGTGGTCGTGGACGTGGACGTGGACGTGGTCGTGGTCGTGGACGTGGACGTGGACGTGGACGTGGACCTGGACGTGGACGTGGACCTGGACGTGGACGTGGACGGACGTGGACGTGGACGTGGACGTGGACGTGGACGGACGTGGACGTGGACGTGGACGTGGACGTGGACTTGGACGTGGACGTGGACGTGGACGTGGTCGTGGAGGACGTGGACGTGGACGTGGTCGTGGAGGACGTGGACGTGGACGTGGACGTGGAGGACGTGGAGGTGGACGTGGACGTGGACGTGGTCGTGGAGGACGTGGACGTGGACGTGGTCGTGGAGGACGTGGACGTGGACGTGGACGTGGAGGACGTGGAGGTGGACGTGGACGTGGACGTGGACGTGGACCTAGACGTGGACGTGGACATGGACGTGGACATGGACGTGGTCGTGGACGTGGACGTGGACATGGTCGTGGACGTGGACGTGGACGTGGACGTGGACGTGGACGAGGACGTGGACTTGGACGTGGACGAGGACGTGGACGTGGACTTGGACGTGGACGAGGACGTGGACGTGGACTTGGACGTGGACGTGGACTTGGACGTGGACTTGGACGTGGACGTGGACGTGGACTTGGACTTGGACGTGGACGTGGACGTGGACTTGGACGTGGACGTGGACGTGGACGTGGACTTGGACCTGGACGTGGACGTGGACGTGGACTTGGACATGGACGTGGACGTGGACATGGACGTGGACGTGGACGACAAGCAAACAAATAGACGAACATTCCATTCACACCCAAATGCATTCACACTCATACAAGCAGACGACAGGATGTCGTGCAATGTGATTTTGCAACCAACACACTCCCCCTCAACCTGCCAGCTGCATCGCCATCATTTCATGCTAGTTCATGCTGATTCCACTCATGCGCACACAACGCCGATGAGGCTTATCCGCAAGCCTCTTGGTGAGGAAGTTTGCTGGCTGCTGGTGGGTCTTGATGTAGATCAGATTCACCGTGCCCCTCTTCACCTCCTTATGCAGCCTTTGTCACTTGATACGCATTTGCTTGTTCGGCCCATGAAGCACAGTGTTCCTGGCCATCCCAAGAGCCCTCTTGCTATCACAAAACAGTGGCGTAGCAACCCTCTATTGGTGTAAACTCAAGCTACTAAGACTTAATCAAACTTAAAACCTCTCCTCGGGGTCACCTCCAAGGGTCCTTGGGTGCCTGGTACAAGACCAGCCCCTATCCTCGGGTCTGAATTTGTAGAGAGAGGGATCAAGAATGACTTAGCCAAAATAGCAAGAGCACTTTGAACGTTGCGCAATGTATCTTGTTGACGGTCGATCGGATTAAGCTATATCAAAGCTCGCTCCAAGAGCTTTAAAATGAGCCAAGTTACCTCGCAAAAAGTTACGCCATTACGGAGTTATTGCTTGTACAGCGTTTGCGTAGCACTGGGGCGCTAGCATACTAGCGTTGACTCGGGTAGCATTCCGCCGTCGCACCTCGTAGAAACGAAATTCGAGTAAGGAAGGAATTCGCTTGAATCAATTTCACTATGTCAGAGAAGGGATAAATAGTTTTAGCTAGCAAGAACCTTGGGAATCAACCTGGGAACAACCAAGGATGATCCCAAATAATTCAAAGCAACGAAACCAACGTGGCTGGACAAAACAGCAGGTGGTAGGTTAAACAACCTCTGGTTCAATTTTTCCAACCTGGGAAAACAACAACGAGGTTCAGGTCCTTAAAACAGAATCTATTTTTGTCTTTGCCCATCCAACCAAATGCTGGTTCCACTGGTTTCCCCTGGCCCTGTAGCATGCAGATATAGACAAACAACATCCAACCTTCACATAAATTGTACCCCTATAGTGCCTGCCCTGCTACACTATAGTCAACCATACAAAACAGTGCAATTTTCAGTTGGATAGAAGTGAATCTGCGCAATCAATTCAACTGAACCGCAAAGCTTTGATCTTGGGCTCCTTTGCAAGCTTGTCCTTTCTGCTTGTACTGTTCATAGCGCGTAGAATGCTGTGCCAAAGCACACAACGCGTGAGTACTTGCAAATGCTTCGAGCGAAAATTGCGAAAGCAAACAAACACACAAACCTTCCATTCACACCCGAATACATTCGCACACGCATACTCGTACAAACAGACCGCAGGATATTGTGCAAAGTGAATTTGCACCCAACACCTTTTGCTCCTGGCCAATCTCCTCTAACAGCATCCTCGGCCAAATCACCTTCTTCACCCCATGGAACATCCCCTTGTACTCTGATTCCACTGAAGAGAGTGCCGTCTTTGTCTGCGTCTTGGACCTCCAACTAACAGGTCCTCCCCCAACTACGCAGATGTATTCTCCTACAAATGAGGAATCCTCCTTCTCAGAGGCCCACGTAGCATCAGTAAAGCAAGTGAGAAAGAGCTTGCCTTCTCCAAGCCTCTCTCCCTTGTCTTTCAGCACCTCAACCCCTTTCTGCTTCACCTTTGCAGATGCGGAGTATTGAACTCCAATGCTTGGGTGAGAGTTCAGGTACTTCACCACACGCTCAGCTGCATCCACCTGCTCCTCTGATGGATTCTGCACCACCCTTGCCAGCTGCCAAACCAAGAAGGAGATGTCGGGCCTGGTGTAAACTGCTGCATATAAGAGGCTACCCACCAAGGACTGAAATTGCTGCTGCTCCTCGGCTTCAACCCCTTCATTCCCTGCTGCCTTCTCAAGCTTAAGTTCTGCTGGCAGGGGAGTTGCAACCTTGCGCTTATTCTCAATCCCATACATCTCCCCCAGCTACTTAATGAACTTCTCATGGTGCAGCTTCAACCACCAGTGATCTGGAACCCTCTCCATGTGCATCCTGGATTTCTCCATCACCTGCTGCTGCAGATTCTGGATCTCCTTCATACTGCTGCTAAAAACAAGAATGTCATCAACATAGACCTGAAACAGCACCAGCTTCTCCCCCTCCTCTTTGAGAAAGAGGCTCTCATCACAGCTGCTGGTCCTTAATCCCATCTCCTCTAAAACAGCTGCCAACTTCTCGTACCAGCAGCGTGGTGCCTGCTTTGAGCCGTAGATGGACTTTTTCAGCTTGCACACCCTACCCATACAATCCTTGTACCCAGGCGGCTGTGACATGTACACATCCTCCTCTAAAAATTCATTGAGAAATGCCGTTGATATATCCATATTAATGATGAATTTCCCACTAACGGCTGCATCTGCCAACAAGACACGGAGGGTAGGGGGTTTGGTAGTGGGAACAAAGATCTCATTAAAGTCCTGCTTCTCCTTCTGCATAAACCCCTTAGCCAACAGCCTACTCTTGTAGATGGTGACCTGTCCCTCGTCATCGGTCTTGATCCTTAGCACCCACTTGCACTGTACGGCTTTCTTCCCCTCAGGGAGCACCACCAAATCTCATGTCCCATTCTCTAGAAACCCTAGAAACCAGCCACTTGACCCTATCTGGTCTAGCTAATGCCTCCTCCATGCTAGCTGGTTCCTCTGGTGCAGGGGCAAGAAAACAGTAGGCAGGTTCATCCTCCTCATCCAGATCTTAGACATGCGGTAGAATCAGCAATGCCTCCTCGGTCCCAAGCTGCTGCTCTGCTATACCTGATCCTTCAAACAGCTTCTTAGTAGCCATACAGGTACGTCCTGGCCTGGAGACGGGTGTCTCCCATCCCCTCATAACAACACCCTTCAGCTTCTTAGTTTTCCTCTGCTGTTGCTCTCCTCCCTCGGATCCAGCAGCTCCACTAGTGCTACCGCTAGTCTCCACACCATTGTTTTCACCACCAGGTGCCTCCTGCACCTTCTCTCCATCACCACCCTCTGCATCTGCCTCCTCTCCCTCCTCCCACACACTACGAGTCATGTCCAGCTGTATGGTGATCTGCTCCATCTTCTGGCACACCGTGGCCTCCGGCTGTTTCTCCCAGCTCCCATAGATCATGCCCTCAACAAACTTCACATCCCTGCTATCAAACAACACACCCTTGGATGGTTCCCACAGCAGCCATCCCTTGCTCTCAACAGCCAGGCCCAAATGCACACACCAGATTGCACTCGCGCCAAACTTACTACGGTAGGTCTTGGGGACGTGGGCGACTGCCATGCAACCGAACACCCTCAGCATGTCCACTGGCGGCTTCCTCCCAAGCCACCTCTCCAACGGCACCCATGAGTCATCCCCAACCTTGGTAAGCACCCTATTCCTAGGGATGGTAGCGTGCGGAACAGCATGGGGCCACATCAAGTTGCCCAGCCCAGATTCTATGAGCAGCGCCCTAGCTGTCTCCAGAATTGTCCGGTTCGCCCGTTCTGGTACACCGATGGACTATGGGGTGTAAGCCGCGGTCAGCTCCCTCTGGATGCCCTGCTTCTTAAGCCAGGCCGTCATCTCAGCTCCAAGGAACTCACCACCCCGGTCTGTCCTGATCCGCTTCACCACACACTCCGCTTGCTTCTCTACGAGCGGCAGCCAATCATCTCGAACTCTGGAGGCCGTGTGGTCCTTCTGTTTTCAGCGGATACGACCACATGAGTTTGCTCCAATCATCCACAATAGTTAGGAAATACCGCTCCCCCTTGTGCCCTTGCACTAGTAGCGGCCCCACGAAGTCCATGTAGACCAGCTCCAACGGCTTCTTGCTCCTACACACTATGGAAGGGAAAACGGGTAGCAAGCATATCTCACAGTTATCATCAAGTGGCTGTCCATTCAGCTTCAGACCCTTAACGGCTCCAAATTTCTCCAACTGTTTCAATAAGGGCATTGCCACGTGCCCCAAGCGTCAATGTGCCGTTGCCCAATCCGTCTCCCCAGATCTGGCCGATACTTTCACACCAACACGTCCAACGGCGTTGCACTCCCCCTGGGATGCAGACCCCTCTCCAGCCTGCCCCTCACCGTGCCACGCCAACGCCGGCAGCTGCCACATGGATCTGTACACATCCTTGCTCTCGTGCAGATCCCAAAGCACCCGATTGCCTAGCTGCCCCTTGTAAGTGCGTGACCCCTCTGAGCTAGTGCTCACCAAAGCCTTGGCAAGCTTACGGAGGGAGATGGGGTTGGCGTTGAGATCAGGAACGAGAATAGCATCGTGCAGCACCACCGGCTTGCCATCCGCTCCCTTAAATGCAGCTCGTCCCGCACCAGCCACCTTCAGCACGTGTCCAGAGGCAGAGCACACCTCATTGATCGGTGCAGCGCATATGTCGTCCAGCTGGTCCTTGCGTGGCGTCATCGTCCAAGCAGCGCCCGTGTCCAACACCCAATAGTCCAGGGGGTGCAGCTCTGCTCCAACCTTGGCAGTGGCGTCTCCTTACTCCCCCTGCTCTCCAATATGGAAGAACTGGCTGGTGGTGCACTCCTTCTTCTTCTCCACACCGCCGTTGCTCTTCGGGTTGTTGTCGGACGAATCGGCAACCATGTTCGCGCCGTTTTTCCGGTTCCTCTTTGCGCCGCCATATTGGTGATGATTTTGGGGGGTCCATTTATCGGGTTTCTTATAGCACAAAAACCAGGGGTGCCCCTCCTTCTCACAATACCATCAACTCCCTTTTCATTTTGCCACCAGCACGCGACTTGCCCCCACGTCCAGATTTCGCACCGCAGCCCCAACCGGTACCTCCTTGTTGGTCGTTGGAGTCGTCGTCCTTCTTTGCACTTTGTCCAGCACCACCAAAGCCACGTCCTCTGCCACGTTGGCTCCCTTGCATCCTGTAGCCACTGCTGCTGCGGTAGGATTGGCCTCGGCGGCGGCATGCAGGTTCGCGACGGCTCCAGGCTGTGCCGCGGCAGCAGGGCGGCTTCAGGGAGGGCCGCGACGGCAGTGCGGCAGGGCCGAGACAGCAGGGCGGCAGGGCCGCGACGGCAGGGCAGGTCTGCGACGGCTTTAGGGAGGGCCGCTACGGCAGGGCAGCAGGGCCGCGACGGCCTGGCGGCAGGGTCACGACGGCAGGGTGGCAGGGCCGCGACAGCAGGGCCGCAACGGCAGGGCAGGGCCGCGACGGCTTCAACAGGTCCGCAACGGCAGGGGCCGCGACGGCAGGGGCCGCGACGTAATGGGCCGCGACAACAGGGTTGCGACAGCGCCAGGCAATGTCGCGACGGCAGGATAGGCGCACGGGGCGCAGG